CGTTGGCCACCTGCCTGTCAGAGAAAAATCGCTTCCTCCTTCCTGGTTGGAAGGCAGCTCTAATGAGCGATGGGCAGCCACGTTCGCAACCGCGGCAGCTCTTTGCATAGAAAACAGGCAGCCTCAGCAACCCGCACGCTATACCCCCCTTTCCCCCTCCTCTACGTGGCAGGAGGTCCTGCCTCCTGCTAATTGCTCAGCCAAGTAATTAGCCGAGGCAGATTTCGGCTCTTGGCTAGGGTTGGGGGGGTTGTGCTGTGCAGAGCAGCTCCCAGGGTGTGAAAGCCCACTTTGTACCACCTCTACTCACTGCTCGCTTCTGCCTGCAGCCATGCCCACCTCTGCTGTCTATCTCCATGCCCAAGGGACTGTGCTGCTGGGGACCAGAGCTGCTAACGCCTTCCCTGCCTGCCTGTCCCATCCACCAGGCACCAGCGCGGCTGTACCAGTGCCTGTGAGACTGAGAAATGCTCTCCTGGCAGGGGACAGAGCCCATCTACCTCTGCCCTGGAAGAGGGGTGCAGCAGCGGTAACTCTGACACCTCCAATCCCCGCTGCTTGGAAATCAGACAGGCACAGCCCAACGGCCTTTACGGTTTTTCAGGCACCCTTCCAGATACAACACTTCTGGCCCTTTGCTTTGCAGTCATTAATAACTGTGGTAACCTCTCCCTGAAGCCCCCTATAGTTTACTGGTGTCTGTCCTGAACCGTGGCTCCCAAAGAAGGCCCAAACAAATGCAAGATCCCTTAGTCCATCATACTGGCATCTCCTTTCTTATGTGCTTGGGACTCATTTTGTCCCTCCTATCCCTCTTTATGACCCTTGATTTGCTTCATTGCAAATGGAGTCCTTTATATCAATATAAAAAGGTGCTTGGTTCCCTACAAAGATAAAAAAACCCAACCAACTACAGCCATACTGGAGAACAGGACGGGAGAAGAGTCCCACTTGTAGCACACTGCAAAACAAGTCACTGCTCCAGGCCCCCCGCACTCACCTGCATGGAAGTAGGGGCTCATGGTGTAGGGGAATCCGAAGGGCAGCGGCTGAGGTGGAGGGATGGAGGCTGGCGGGAGGTATTTCACCTCGTTTTTGTTGATGCCTGGCCCAAGCAAATGGCTGGGGGACTCGGCGCTCGAGGAGCTGCAGGGGACGTTTTGGCCACCAGCCGCTTCCCCCAGCTCCTTGACCCCTTCGCAGACTTTGCCCGTCTCTTTGCACTCCTTCAGCTCGGCGACCGAGCTGCTGCTCTCGGCCTTCAGGCTCTCGGGCTTCTCGTCGCTCACATCCGCGTCGCTCTCAGAGTCCTTCATCTCCTCATCGTTACAGTCTGGCGCCCCGTCCCGCGCCCGGGGCTCCGC